TTTTTTTGGTACCAGGGATCAAACTCCCAACCTTGCACTTGCAAGTCAGGTGGCAGAACCATTGAGCTAAATCCCTGGCCTGCAAACGTATATTTTTGAAAAGTATAGCTTCCAAAACCAAAAAAATTGAGAAGAATGGCATTATTTTAGGGTTTTTGTTTGTTTGTTTGTTTTTGGTACTGGGGATTGAAAAAAAAAGCCTCTGCACTGAGCTACATCCACACCCCTTTTCTCTTTTTATGTAGAGACAGGATCTTGCATAGTCTCTAATTTGTCCAGGCTGGTCTTGAATTGGTGATCCTCCTGCCTCAGCCTCGCAGACTGCTGGGATTATAGGGATGCACTGCTATGCCTGCCTGCTTTATGCTTTTGTAAATCTCTTTACTATTAGTCTGGCTGGGCAGGGGGTGGCTGACTCTCGTGTCTGCTCCTGCGTTAAGCCTTTTGTGATCTCACACATCCAGCAGCCTCTGGAAGCCTCCTGGTCCACTGGTGAGAGGACTGAGAAGCAAATGATGTCTGAGAGTCATTATGAAGATCGTTTTGACTCAGTAGATCCCCTGAACAGGTCTTGAGGACCTCGCGGGGCCCTGCAAGAACCAGGGATATAGAGGAATGTTTAATAAGAAAAAGTATCATGATATACTAAGTGGATAAAGAGGGCAATATATGATTAATCGCATCTGTCTGTCTGGAGAAGACTGAAAGATACACCAAATATTCAAGGCGGTTATCTCTACTTTGGGAGTCATGAGTGTTCTTTATTTTCTTTTTCCTTAGCTATGTTTTCTAATTTTTTTTACAATGAACTTTTAACATTGTGTTATTTAGAAAAAAAATGGTAGAAGCAATTTGTTGATGAGAGGAAGGAGCCCCAGAGGGGTTTGAGGCCCCCAGCCCTGGGAGGGCTCCTTGGCCTGCACCTGGATACAGCTTTACCTACAGCCCTGCCTCCCACTCTGATTCAGGCCCTTATCTACCTCCAGCATCAACACTACTTAGGAGTGTTGCAGATATTTTCTCCCAGAGTACACCTGACTCTTAGCTTGCTGTGGAAAATTCAAGCAAAACTGCAGAACCATGTGGACGTGGTGGGGTAGGGTCCTGCCTCGCTGGGAGGTGGGGCAGCTCTGTGACCTGCAAACATCATTTCACTTGCACTGGAACTAAGCGGCTCAGGGTCCCGCCCCCAACAAAGGGGGTTGCTTAGCAACCAAGGCAGCTGTCCTGATGCTCATGGTGTCCAGGGCCAGGCCTGTAGGCTGGGGCCTCAGCCTGGCTGGAGCTGGGGGGAGAGGGAGAGGGGACCGATACCAGCCATGCCAAATTCAGGCCCCTTGTTTACTGGGAGCAGAGAAGACGAGCTATTTCACATCAGCTGAGTTTTTGTTTTTGGTTTTAGAGACAGTGTCTTACTGTAGTCCAGGCTGGTTTTGAGAACTCACTGTGGAATCTAGGCTGTCCTTGAACTCGAGGTGATCCTCCTGCCTCAGCCTCCTGAGAGCTGGGATCACAGGTGTGCACCACTACTTCTGGCAACATCAGCCAATTTCCTAGCCAGAGAAGGTTATATTATTTGTAGTTGCAGTTTTTTTCCATTTCATAACCATCTCCCCCAAACAACTCTGTATTGTGGCCATTTCTTGGTGACTCCAGGCTGTGGCTGTGAGCGTTATGAGCTGTGGCCACAGTGGTGCAGCATTGTCCCCGCCGCTGTGGGCCTCCAGATCACTGTCCTGAGGAAATTGTCTGTATCAGTCATTAATTAAAGTATCGCTGCTATTGTCAGGTTCTAGCCAAAGAGGCTAGAACTCGGCAGAACTCCCAAATTCCTGCCTGGTGTCCCTGCCTTCCCACTGAGCCTCAGACTCTTCCTGGGAGCTTTTCTCCCTTCGTTCACATTCCCTTAAAGCCAGCTAGCTGGAAATTTCATTGTCACTAAAAACCTTTCTTCAGCCAGGCATGGTGGTACACACCTGCAATCCCAGCACTGTGGGAGGCTGAGGCAGGAGGATTCCGAATTCAAGCTCAGCCTGGGCAACTTAGAGTTAGCCAGACTGTCTCA